GGAAATGTTCCACGACAAAATTGTCGACTCATTTCTCTAAGGCTAACTATCCTTATTGGTTTCGTGAATTTTTATAACCATATGGAGAAGCTGATAAAACGTTTACGTCAAAAACCGGATCAAATCCTTCAAATCTGCCAATTTTTTCATCTTTGTTTTTGGCAGTTAGGCATGGGCTGGTTCGCATAAAAATCAAGATCAAATCTGGACCAGTCAGCAAAACCGTATATAACATATATGTTGTAACATAAACCTATCAAACTGATCAATTAATATCTTTGAACTGAAAGGAGACAAGAAAACAATACATCAAATATATTCAACCATAATGGGAAGCTAGTCGGTCACACTTCACAAGTGGCCTTTGTTTTTGGGTTGTTTCGTTGAAGGGTCCCCAATCAATGGTGGGGAAAACCATCTCCTTATCTCATTATCTCTCTGTCTGTCCCTCTCACACGATTAGTATAATCATATGAAACCTTCACTTGCTTTTAAATACCCTTAAACATCACACAATCATCAATTTACACCCTGAACATCATAATAAAGAAACCAAAAACTTGCTATATATACACACATTATACAATGAGGGAGAAGTCAAAGGAGGAGGCAGTGAAGAATTGGGAGAAGAAGACAAAGAGGAGCAAGTCGTCTTCTTCACCAAAAGGAGTTGGGGAGTTTCTGAAAAAGAAGAAAGGAAGGTTCTACATTATTGGAAAATGTATTACTATGCTTCTTTGTTCGCACGAATGATCATTCAATAAACATTTGTATGTAAATATATAGATGATGATAGAGGAATGAAAAGGAGAGAGAGCTCACATATGTACATCAATACCTTTTCCAATGTTTTTCTCTCATTTTATGCCGGTGTATTGTTGTTGTGCTATATATATATCACTCAATATTTTTCTTGTAAACTATACATCCTTAACCAAAAGAAAAAGTAAAATAATAGTCAATACAAAAACTGAATACTAACTCCATGCATGTTTAGAGAATTTATATAGAATGCATCAATGGATGGTTTATTAATTTGATCATATATTGGGTATTTGCTTCTTCTTTTTTACATGTGTAGTGTTTTTATAGAACTTTATATTCTTGTTAATTTAGTACTAAATAAATTGATAATATATAATTTTTTTCTTTAATTAGTCTGATTATTGTAGTTATATATAAGTCATTCCTTATAACTTATGTATAGTAA